ATCAATACCGTCATTTAGTGGTTACAATAACAGGGGCATCCGAAACATGGTAATTAATTAGGAGTTGGATATTTTTCTTTCTTCTTATCCAAGTGATTGATGAGCTCAGGGAATGGGCACAGAATACAATAAGATATCAGTAGTATAATTAATTTTGAACAGAATTATGGTGTAGCAGACCTGTGAATTATATGTCATTGACAACAGATCCCCACATTCTTCAATAAGACCTCTTTCTCCTCCAGTCACCCTAGCTACTTCTGAGATCAAATGTTCTGTTTCTTCAGCCTGCATCAAGAAATGTTCAAAAGAATCATTCATGATGGGTTTGGAGGATAAGAAATGGAGACAAATTTAATTTTGGTTAAGGTAAGGATGATAGCTTGTGACACTATTTTGGCATCTTAGACACGGGTGTGACAGAAGAGAAGGCAATTCTGTTTGGAAAAAGCGGAAAGCACCTACCTACCTCAGTTAACAGACTGTTGGTTGGCCCACCTTTTGAGTACCATCAAGCATTCTTTTTATCCACCTTTTGAGTCTAATTAACTAACTGTTCAGATTTTGTAGCAAACACGGGACCCTCTTTCTAACACTATGCCTTCATGGCGCATTGTTTTCCTTTGGATGACACAATTAGGCTGGTCTCAAACAACCTTCCTCCTTTGAAAACTTTGGTTCTCCTACCCGTATGGTTGGCGTATATTGTTTATGGTTAGATGTTTTTTCACTTCCCAACAGAAGTACTTCCATTCATTGATTATTAGAGAAAAATGTGAGAAAATCCACCTCACCTTTGGCATAAGGCTTTCATGTGAAAAGCTATTGTGTCCATCAATTTTGCTGCAGAGTTCAATGCCTCCCCTACCTCCCTAATATCAGCCTACAATGGACATCCATATCGTTGTCAGAGTACAGCACACAAGAATGATAAAACCCTGAAAGTGACAAAAGGAAAAGGGTAAAACATACTCTAGCATTTCCACTGATTGGAACTTGAAGTGAGGCATTCAACAAAGCTTGAATCGCTTCTGACAGGGATACCGAATAATCCGTTTCAAAAGCTGCCCATTCATCCAGATATGGCATCTATAAAATTCATTCCATTAGAACAACAAATAGCACTATTGTTGCTGTAAACTATTACATGTAACTGTAGATTGTTTGGTCACAATAGAGTTGCCTAAATGCAAAACACAAGTTAAACGCTCAACCAGGTGAGATACAGGCAATTTGTTTTTTTATTGTTTTATATTATTATAGTTCTGGGGCAAAAGTTGATGAAGAAGAGGGAAAAAAAATGTAGAATTCAATAGATACAATAAAACAGACTGTGTGTGTGTGTGTGTGTGTCAGCAGCAGCAGCCTTACTTGAGCTTCAACGATGGTCCATAGAAGTTTGATTCTCTGCAGAAGGCCAAGCTCAACGCGTTTTCTTTTCACTGAGTTGTATAATTCTGTTATCTTGACACCGAGGGAATACAGGTTTCTCTACGAAAGAGAAGAGAGGATTAATCACTTTTGAGATTGGAATTGAACAAAATAGCAAATATTAAGGAATGAGATTGTATAGTACCTCAGTTTCGCATGTCTGAGCTTGAGTGGAAGCCTGTGCTTTTGCGTTGACAAATCTCCACTGCAGGTGGTGGTTGTGCAGCAGCTTGAGAGATTGCACATCTTCTTGGCTAGAAACTTTCCTTGTTTTTCTAGAAGCATCAATAGGGATCTTGGAGCAAGGGCCCACTGGAGGCAGCTTTGCAGATTTGAGTGAATGAAACAAGGTGGGATCGCAGCTGCTTGTAGATCGCTGTAAATTGAGAGAACGGGAGCAAGGGGAAGCACACGGATTGTTATTATTATTAAGCCTGTTGAGATTTCTCTCCGCTAGAAATCTAGTATCGGTATCGCCGAGGAGTTCAGGAAGAGAGCTTCTGACATCATTATTGATGTTGTGATGATCCGAAGAGGAATCAGTGGAAATGGAGATCCCAGTGGATTGCAACATCTTCGCAGCAGCCGATGAGATGTTGATGTTGGAGGTGGAACGTTGATGCATCAACAGTAATTTAGAGTAAGAGGATGTGTTGACGGGGCTGAGTGTAACGGACATGTTTTTCAAACATCAAACATCAATAAAACATCAATACAATACGGCTTAGTTTATTGATTAACCTGGTATTTTCAAATTTAAGCACTATTGCTTAAATCTCTAATTAAATGAGCAATATTTATTCTAGTAAAATACTGCTTACTAATCAATACAGGGTTTTCATAAACTAAAGCACATTGAGGCTCCTCAACCATAACTTCAATATTATACATTAGAGTTGGTTCATTGGGTTGCGAGTTATCAATATTTTTTTAAAAAAATCAATTCTTCTTATTTTGTTTATAGTTCAACCTAAAATCAAAATATATATCGTAAGAAAAAATTGATAATTTTGGTGGCTCTGCTAAAAACAAAATATAAAAAAAAATCCAATCATAATAAAAACAAACCAATTAAAATTTATCTAATTGATTAGAAAAAAATCACTATAACAAAAATTCAAAAAACAATTATTAGAACTAGCAAATTTGAAAAATAAAAAAATAGAATTATATAAAAAAATCTCATCAAAATCTTAATAAACATCTCAAAACAAAATAAAAAATTATTTAAATTTTGAGTTATTGATATCCAATTACCTTATTTTGTTTAATGAAAGATAAATTAATCAGTACTCTGCTTCAATCTTTCTGTAGAAAAATTCTATCTTTAATTTGTATTTTTATTCCTGTTTTTGTTTTTGATCAGCTGCGTTGCAAGCATTTATATTAAGGTTGTAACATGTAGGGAGAAAAAAGGCAACAAAACACATCGATAACTTTATATTTTTTTCGTTCCATGCAGGCACGACCATTTAATCAAGGCAAAGTCCTTCTATGTAGGCACCTCTTTTAAAAATATTATAGCACCTCACATTTAATTACAAAATTTAAAAAAATTATCTACCCCACCCTCAATCCACCCTAAGCATCTCATATGAAAAAAAAAAACCAAAAACTTATTAAACTAAAAAAAAAATTTCATTACCATATCATGTTTAAAGTATCAATTCATGTAGCATTAATTTTTAATTTTCATTATAAAACATAAATTTTAATTCCACAAATATAAAATCTTATTTCTCAGAATATTTTCTAGATCAAATGCAGTTATACCTAAATCTATAAAATAAAAAGATATTATCCTACCAAAAAACTAGATCCTTAAAGGTGCTACCCAACCTAAACCTTTGCAACTACTACAATTAAATATTCAATTCAAACAAACAACCTAGTATAATAATGATAAGTTAAACTATCCTTCTATAAACATTTAACTAATTCTAGATTCTCAAATGAATTTTCTACATCCAGTATAATAAATCTCAACAGAATTTATGAAATTTTCTTAATTATAAATATACTTTACCACATAAACTTATCTAAAAAATCAATCTCTGATATTTCTATTATCGGTTTTCAAAATGTTGATTATACCACAAATATACTTAAACTATTATATATAATCATTGATCAATTTTCTCTACCAACATCCCCAACATTCTCATTTGTAATCAAAAACATCTAAAATGAGCTGAATGTTAAACAGATTTTATTATAAACATAAAATATTTTATTGATGATTTTTATAATACTTATAAATCTGAAAAGAGATCTTAATTCTTTAAGACTTATAGCTTAATTTTTGTTGCATTATATGAAGTTAAGATTTTGTTATTTCGGTGGTTCGAATCATTTTATGTATTTGAACACCATATTACATATCCATTTTCCAAGCATACATGTCTTATAACATCTAGAAATAAAACTCGTGTATGGAAACTTATCAATGGTACTTTTATTAAATCTGAACATCAATCCTTGAGAAACATTAAAATTCTTTATAATAGTCAGATTGTAGATGTTACCCTTTACAATAACTCAAGTGAAGACATTAGCATAAACACCAAACACATTATCAAGTAAAAGAACTTCACTAATACCAACCTCAATACCATAGAAAAACAATTGTCTAGAATAGATAAACAAATCCCAAAGACTATTGTTTCTTTAGTTAAAACTACAAAATTTGTAGACCAAAAGCTAAAAACCCAGTATTGAAACCATACCAAATTACAAGAACTAGCCAAACCCAATTCCAAAACAATAAAATTAACTTTTTTAAAGTTATTAAAGTTTACCTTAATCACCTTTTCATCCTCCACCTTGATTGCTCTTAACATCCTATAAGTTAGTAATAATCTCTAAATCTTCACAGTCCACATAAACGCTATTAAAAATTATCAAACTCATACCACTAATGAATAAGCCTTTCATAAAAAAAAACTCTTGAAATTAATAAACTTGTTTGGAGAAATCATATTCCTAAAATAATCATTTCCTTTTATATAAACCTCTATAATAAACTAACTATTACAAACCAATAAAGATTTAGTGTTTTTTTCTCTATGAATAGAACATAGATGGAATATCTTAATACAATATCCTAAACACCTTATAATAAATTACTATAGCTGTCAATACCTATAAAACCCAAACTAAAACTTCAGACAAAGCTATAGTTGAATTTCTTATAATTGGTTTTTCTGGTTAGTTAAAGGAATGGTGGAATTATCATCTTACTGAAACCCAACACCTTGAAATCCTTAACTTTATCCAAATGATTGAAGACCAAATACATATTCTTGACTTTGATGGAAACACCATCCAAGATGCAATTTCAACCCTCATTTTAACAATTTCCCTTCATTCTATAAGAGATCTTTTACTTCTCAAAGATAAAAATATTGAACTTTTTTTTAACCTTAGATGCAAAAAACTCATTGAGTTCCAATGGTATAAAAATATTTTCCTTACTCGTGTCATGCTCCAAGAAGATTCAAACCAATATTTTTGGAAAAAAAATCCTTACTAATTTGTCGACCCTCATAAGACAAAGAGCTAGGAACAAAATCAAAGACATTTTTATCTTCAAAACAAATCCTTATGCTCAGTTAAAATATGGTAAGCTTATTATTTTACCCAAAAAGAAGGTCTTAAGATTTGTTAAAACCTTAAACTTCAAAAACACATTAAATGAGAAATGAGAAGAACTAGACAGGAACTAGGAAGTTTTTTGTCAATAGTTTGACCTATTCTACCAAAGTCAACTTTTAATGGTTCATGCTTCAAATCTACCACTTTAAAGCCCAACAAAGCACTTAACAGAAGATCAATCATAAATACAAATATTTCTATAGTAAAATTAAGCCATCCAACAAAAAGATCACTACAAAGCCCGCAAAACTTTTTCAGCCAATACCAAAACCCAAGCTTAAAATTATCTAAAAAACATTACATATTACAAATATAGCTAGAAAGGTCATACCTTTATATTTTTTTTGAATCAACACAAAGTTATATGAAATATAATTAGAAAAAGAAGGCATTTACCATATCCAAAACCTCTTGGTTGAAGCATCTGAGATTGAATCAAGGTCGTTAGATATTTATAAAGAACACTTTCAAATATATAAGTTAGTAACATCTAACTTTGGCTCAAACATATCAAACCATAAAACTTCAAAAAAAATATCTTAACCCAATACCAAGAATTGATTCTTAAAGTTATAATGATCTTTAATTTTTTTTTAAAAAATAATTTATGGATAAACTTATGAGTTCCTTTGATAAGTCAAAGACACCACAACATGTTCAAAGACAATCATTATTGTCATCAACTAGTACAAATACTTATGACATTACTAAAATTCTCAACCAAAAAAAAATCTAAATATGTTGCTATTGACTGAACTACATAATTTTAAATAAGCTCAACAAAAAGAATTTTCTTTTACAATAACTTCTTACAAAGTTAGAAAGCTAGACTGATTGTAAACCCTAGATAATCATGCATTAGATCATGTATTATCAAATACTGAGCACGTTCCTGAATATTTTTAACATATTTTAATTTAAATTACTTCAAAGAAGTATATCATAAAAATTACATTAATCTTTTCAAATGATTGTAGAATAAATAGTGTTGTCTTGTTTGATATAGGTGCATATTTAAATTGTATTAAATAAGAAATAGTTTTAAAATAATTTTTTACAAAGCACTTCTGAAAAACTTTCTGTGGCAAAGAATACTAAATTGGTTATCGAATACAAAATTCAAGCATTAGTTTTTAATAAGGGGTTTTATCTAAAAATTTTTTTATTACTAGTGATATTAATCATATTGTTACTTTTATCATTCCTTTTATTGACATGCTTACTCCTTAAAAAACTAGTAATGAAAGTACTATTTCAAAAATCAATGGCATAAAACTTGTTTTTCATTTCATAGAAAAGCCAAAAACTAGGAATTTAAATCAAATCAAGGCATGTTTAATTCATACTCATCACATTAATGCATTGACTCGAGAAAAGGAAGTTCATCTCATACATCTTAGACAAGATGTCTTTTTATTAAAAAAAATTATTTTTCGTTTCATAAAAAAGCCAAAAACTAGGAATTTAAATTTAATCAAGGCATGTTCTAATCATACTAACCACATGAATATATTGATTCGAGGAAATCAAGCTTATCTCATGCATTTTAGACAAGATGTCTTTTTACAAAAATAAAATAAAATTGAGCAGCAATTATAAAATTCTATTTTACAAAAAAGAATTTTAGAATTTCAAAACAAGATTACAAAAGAGATATATTTTGATTTATCAAATGCGTTATGGAAGAGAAAACAACATGTTGATCTTTTTTATGATGATAATTTTTATGAAAAACAAATTCCTATAAAATCAAGACCTATTCAAATGAGTGCTGAACATAAAACCAAAGATTTAAAGTTTAAAGGTCTTATATAAAAATTTAGATCACCTTGATCGCGTGTAGCTTTTTATATTAACAAAAATTTTGAAATTGAACAAGACACACCAATGCTTGTTATAAATTATAAACTTTTAAACAAAGCTTTGAAATGGATTAAATAACCAATTTTAAAAAAAGTTATTACAAGAATTATATTCTGCATTCATATTTTTAAAGTTTGATATGAAATTAGGATTTTGAC